ATTCTGTAATGAAATACATCCTACAGTGCACAGAAATAGCTAGGATATATAGTTTTATATTGCACTTTAGTTTCCATATTTCTATTTTATTCTATTTTTTGTCTTATTTTATTTTATCTTATCTTTTTGCACTGCATTCTTTGTACTAACACTTTAGCTCTGGACCTGGGAAACGCTGTCTCATTTCACTGTGTACTGTACAGCTGTATGTGGTTGAAATGACAATAAAGCCCTTTGAATCTCTTGAATCTTGAATCTAATAACTTCTCATGTAGATGTCAGATGAAGGGAGTAAACAGCATACTGAAGAAACAGTCACTGACAATTTTCACTGCAAATATTTTACAGTAACTGATGTAATTAACAATTTAATGAGGACAGGATGAAATTTTGTCATAAAAAAAACAGTAATTACACATGATCAGGTCAAGATCTGCAAGAACCAAGAGTTATGGCTTTGTCTACATGGGAGCTTTAAATGAGTTGACATATAGTAAACTGGTCTCTTCAAATTGAATCCTGTACAAAATAGCACTGGGTTCTGGGATTTTCACATTATGACAGTGCTCTGTCAACACCTCCACATTATGAATTCCAACAACATTACTTAGTGACTAATTATTCATTTGAAGCAGGTGATACAATGTCAGAAAAAGTTCTATCCCATGATTTCAGTTTGTGGGTTCTCTGGCTTCCTTCCACACAGTCCAAAACCATGCTGAGGTTAACTGGTAATTCTAAATTGTCCGTAGGTGTGTATGTGAGTGTGCATAGTTGTCTGTCTCTAAGTGTAGCCCTGTGATAGACCGACGACCTGTCCAGGGTGTTCCCTGCCTTCGCCCCATGTCAGCTGGGATAGGCTCCACCAGCCCCACGACCCTAGTGAGGATTAAGCGGTGTATAGATAATGGATGGATGGATGGATGTTGCTTTATCAAGCTATTCTACTAAACATCTTTTTATTTTTTTTCAAACAAAAGGCATATCTGCTATATAAGGACTTTATCTGGAGCCACACGAAACTACACATTCATAGATCATAACATTACATCCTAAATGTTTCAGGTTTTTTAAAAAAAAATCAAGACTCATGCAGTATTGACTGATGAATTAACAATGTTGAAAACATAAAAATCGTGCACTGTTTGCAAGAAAGTAAAAATAAATTCAGCCCACCACTAACTGTTGTGAAAATGAAAATTGAAATGAAATTGTGTAATTCTGTTAAACAAACCAACAAACAGATGCAGGTGTAAACATAACCTTCTGCCTTATATTTCTCAAATATAAATTTGTCTGCAAAAATATATTTTACCAAAGTAGCTAAAAAAGTGTCTGTCTAAATGAACACTCAGCACACAAAGAGTACCTCAAAATGAAAGCGTGCACTTAAAGTCATCAGCTATACACTTAAACTTCAAAAACATTCATACAAAATTTAAGAGATTGTCCCAGGTCCAGGCCCAGCTCTCCACCAGGTTTGGAGAGAATCAGTACAATAGTTTTTGTCAATAGCCTTTCCAAGCAATTATCCTCAGCCGTTAATGTGTGTGTACGCGTGCATTTACCATAGTCCCTCAAGGGATTAACAATTTTTAAGTGCAAAACTGGTCTCAAAAAGCTCTCTAAACATTATGCTTCATATACACAGCAGTGTCCTTTTCTGTTACACAAGTCCATGGTTGCACTTTGAGAAATATGAGATCCTCGGCTTGCTCAATGTGGCCTCATAAGAAGTCCTTCAGCACTGAACACTCATTCAACTGGTGCTGAAGATGCAGGGACAGTAAGCACTTTAAGTGCAAGAGCATGAAAATGTGAATATTTGTCCATGTTCTTAAACCAGAACATGAGGGCGTTGTCCTCTATTGAAGTGCTCTGGATGTCGTCAAAGTATTTCATTACCTGGGTGACAATGCTTGCCTCAGTGGGAGTGCTCTTTTTCTTTTTATGAGTTTTATACTTTGCCAGGAGTCGTGGAATCTTGGAACTAGGAGGAGAATCCTGACACTGTTCTGCTATGGACTTCTCTCCAGCATGGTTGTTGTCCGGGTCATTAAGGTCAATCTTTTCTGCTTCAGCTTCCAAGCTCTCTGGAAGAAAGAAAACAAATACACACCTTCATAGGCATCTTGAAAATGTAATGTGAATACAAATTGTAGCTGTGGGAGTAATTGGAATGGTTATAGTGCTAACAGTAATATCAGCCCTGAATAACTTGACTTTAATTCGTATATTTTTTATGCTTAACACATTTTTCATATTTGCATTCATTGTCTTGTCTTATTTTTTGATTGCACTATCTTTTAATTTTTTTTGTCTATGAAGCACTCTGTAAACTTGTTTTTGAAAAGTGCTACATAATCACAGCTAATTGTATTGTTATAAAGTAGCAGTACTAATAGTAGCTAGTATATATCCTTACAGGAGGAAACATTAACCTGTCAGTGACCTCTGCACTTCCTCCCTTAGTCTCTTGATGGTGAAGGTGCTGCCACTGGTCCTCACATTCATGTCAACCCAGCTCATTCCAAACTGAGGATCCAGCATCGCAGCTTGCGTATAGATGTCATGACAGCTTTATCATGGCTATGGTCCTCATCAGCCATATGACGCACAAAGAATATTCCTGAGAACCTTCGCTTGAGTGACTCTTGAAGTGCCCTGATCAATGGCCTACAGAGACTCTTGGGTGAATCCAACTGAATTAAATGAGTATTAAGGTCAAACACTGTTGGAACAACCACGCTAATTGTGACTATCTTTTCTCCCTCTGTTTGATTCTTGGATCTTTTGCTGAAGCAACAGAATTAACAGAGTTCTCTCAACTGGGTCCACTCTCTTGATGTGATGACAATGTTCTTAAAGTCCACAGAGCAGATCTCTGTCAAAGCTGTGTGATTCTGTAAAAGCCTGTATTTGTTTAAAGGTTGAGTTCCACTGAGTTATGTTACCCACTGGGATACTTTTGCCACTACCAAAGACTGATTCAAACTTGTCCTTGTGCTGCTATGCAGTAGAGTTGCAAGCTTTGACACTTTGGAAATTACTTGAGAAAGGCACTTCACCTCTTTTAAGCTATCACCCACTACCAACTGAAGACTGAGCGAAACAGGAAAGCCGCTGCTGGGATCCTTGGGGAAAGTCCTCAGCAGTGGTTCACCAACTATGTCCTCCTTATCCTCACTTTCATCTGAGTACTCTGCCATCACCACTTTAAAAGCTCTTTTCATGTTAGATGCACTATCTGTGCTAAATTTTGTCTTATCACATATATATATATATATATATATATAATATTATATATAGGTTAGTTGTCATTTTCCGTGCATTGCCTTGGCAGCGACAAATATGGCGGTATTCTGCTGGCCTGCTTACAGTCTCTTTATCAGAGCTGAAGCAACACAAACATTAGAATAAAACATCAACAAATGAGTGACATGCAAGCATACAAACACAACATCCAAAATACAACAGGGGAAAAACTAGTGATAGTTGAATGCAATAATTACAAAACTGCACAGACCGGAGAGAGGACCATCGCATAGCAACACAGCTGGCAGCCTGTGGGCTGGACCATGGCTATACTCCAGGCAACTCACATTACAGAGGGGTTTGATCTTGATACAACCCAGTCTCACGGCAATTCGTGAAATAGTCACAAAACTTGGTCTACTGATTTGTGTCCAGGGACACGAATTGACCAACTTTTTCACATTTCAAACCAATACATTTCAACTGCTTAGAATTATCTTTTGTGTCTGGGCCATGTTTTTTTCCCCCAATTAGACAACACATATGCTGTGATGTTTTTGTCATTCTTTTCTTCCATCAGTCAGGCATTTACCAATTTTGCTGTTCTGAGCAGTGTATATCAGCATATAAATTCTTAACTCCTAGACATAGTTTTCAACAATCCTATATGCAACAACAGCATAGTAGAATTACTGAAATGCAGCTATGTCTTTTGGCTTTGGTATGCCACCTCAAGATTTTTAGTGGCCCTGCCTTGCCATCCCTGACATTTGTTACTTCATATCATGTTGTATTGCCCTGACAAGTGACAAGGAGACAGACATATCCGTAATGGCCTTGTGTAACTGTCAAAATAAAAGCTTAGGATAGTGCCTAATATTCAGATTATTGCAACAGAACCACACAAAGCTAACAAAGGTTTTCTTATACCTATAGTCTCTCACAAGTATGCTGTATGTTTTAAAACACAAAGATTTAGATAAATGCAATAAACAAGCTTTGTGCTGCAAGAATCCGAAGCTATTTAATGCTTTTTTTCATTTCCCAAAACAAAAATGCAAACCACATGTTGTTCCTTCATTAACATGGAGGACCATATTTGCATAGGCAGAATAAAAAGAAAATCTGACAAATTATAAGGCAAAATCCCTTATTGTTAACTAATTTGCTTAAATTTAATTTGGCCCTATTCTTCAATATTGTAGAATTCATAATTGTCCAACAGGATCCCCTATGTGACAGATTTTTCTCTTAAGATGCAAATCAAGCTGCACATTGATCACTGAAATGGCCTGGAGACCCAAGTGAATATTTGTAAACAAGGTCAACAAGCTCAGACAAAAAATAGGAATTCTCTGATCAAGGCTTTTGCTTTTGATCCTGATCTTCAGTCACGTGTACCTGGACATATCAAGTATGATTTTATGTCTATGTTTTTCTACATATAATACAGTGCTGTTACAGTGTGCCTTCTAAAAATTGATTTAAAATAAAACATGTCCAACAGTTTGAGCAACTGGAGGTTGACAATATCTAATCTACCAATTTAAATTATTTAATTAATGTTGTCCTCCATACATCTGTTACACCCTATCATTTTTCAGTGCAACTGTCCAGTCAATATATGTTCGTGCCCAACAAAAGTCACTGTTCAGTAATTTTGCCATGTGAAGTGCGTTGTATTTTAGGTTTTCTATTGAAAATGTTGCCGGTGTAATTTGCGGATTGCCTCTCAGGTGTCACTCCACTCCGCAGTCTTCGGAGACGCAGCCTCTGGTGTCGCCTGTGCGGCGGTGCGCTTCTGACGGCTCCGCTGTCCGTGGCTGCCTGTTGACAAATTGTGGCCATAGTTTTAACTAATTTTGTTGAGATGGAGCCTCCGGACTTCGAAGCGAAGAACTTCACTGTTGAGCCAGCGTCGTCCGCGTACCCGTTATGTGAGGAATGGAGAGATGGCTCGGAGGGCTCCGTCTTTCAACTCGCCAACATCTTCTTCTTCCTTGGCTTCATGGGCGGCAGCGGCTTTTACGGGCTCCTCTACCTGTTCACCCTCCTGACTCTGGGCTTCTTGTGCTCCACCGTCTGGGCATGGTCGGAGCCCTGTACCACGGATCCTTTCCTGTGGAGTCTGGCCCTCTCTGGGGTGTGTTTGGGACAAGCTCTGCATGTTGCCTACCGGCTGAGGAGCGTCGTACTCGACAAGGACTTTCAGGAGCTTTACAATTGCATGTTTAAAAAACTAGGAGTGTCGCTCACACATTTTGGGAAGATAGTGGCGTCTAGTGACGGAGAAGTCCATACGATAGAGAAGGACCACTGCTTCGCCATAGAGGGAAAAACTGTAATTGACAAGCTGTCGGTGCTCCTGTCTGGCAGGTAACTGCATGACTCTGACAAGACAATTCACTCACTGGCTTTGCTAAATGCTAAACGGTAACACTTAGAATGAACAAAACGTCTGACACAGTATAGCTGATCATGTCAATTCGGTACTGATATTGAAATGTATCAGTGGAACAAGTAGTCTGTGCAGTGAATTAAGATAGGTAAGAAATTAAAGGCATCCGAAAGTTTTATGGATGTTTCTGTTGCCCCAAATAATTCCAATTTAACCTAACTGACATGGTATAATGGCTGTTGAGCCATGTTCTTTCACTCTGCGACCAAAATAGAGATAGCACATGTCCACTCCTGGTCCTATTTCTTGACTGTTGCATAGTTACACAACTCATGCACATCAACAGTTGATGTAGACATGTTTTTCATGAATTTGCTTGATGACAACTGCTCAACAGGTACAGTTAGTAAAAAAAGAAATATTAACAACAGACAGAGCCTGAATACAGAAACACAAGGTGAATACAAAATGTAAATGCACATGTATTCAAAAGTAAAATACAAGGTAGAACCAGTACAGAGCAAAAATGGAAACAACAATAATTTTATACTGAATTAACAGTTGTGCAAATGTAAGCTGAATGAAAGGCATGAGTCCGCAGTAGACTACTGAGGGAATTTTGCTGAAACTAAATAATGTTACAATAATTGAATGTAAGTTGACAGTAAATATGTGGAAATTGTAAAAGTTTTACAACTTTCGTTGGAAGGGAGGAATTATACGACTGTATGGGCACAGGAAGGAAGCCCTCCCATTGCTTTCAGTGGAACACTAAAGACTTGGGTATACGCTGTTGTGAATGCCCACACAAACAACTGCAGGCAACACAGACGCATAGTTATTGTTGTACTAATTTCTAATACATTTAAAGCACATGTTCCACACACGTACAGTAGATTGATAGATACTTGAAATATCTTTGTGTAGAAGCTGTGTAATCTCGCTTTTGTGTTGTGTGAAGAAACAGTCTCAAGACATTCACTCTTGCGCTGGCTCCAACCAGCCATTTATTTTGGTCACACAGACTCTGTGTTATTCTTACAGCCAGTCTTGTAGTAATTGCATAGAATTTCTAAGAAAGATGGACATAGTTACTGTCAAGTCACCCGTTGGTTTCTACGGGGAAAGGGAAGCCAGGAGTTTGCTAAATCCTGTTTGCCATCTTGGATTTTCTGGATTCAGAAGAGACCATATTTGAAAAAGAGGTTTGGACCCAGAAAGCAGTGATTGGCAAGACCGACTGGGAACCGGAGGACACTCTGCCTGCCCACATTTACCGGCTGCTGCTGTTCACATCGCTGCTGCTAACAACGTTAACCTCTTAAAGTTAAGATAAACTCTACAGGTAAGTGAGAATGTCACCTTAGTAAGTTGTTGTATTCTTGTCCACACCACGCTATTGTAGCTGAAATTACTGAGTGGAAGTTAACATTAAATAGTGTGTAACCTCTTATGGTAAAACCTGTTCTAACAAAGCCTTTTAAATTTGTTCTGCAACTCTTAGGTTATGTTTCCTAACTTAGTGTGTGTTAACTGTGATGCAAAATTGGGTTTGTGAGGATCCTGAATTGCGTCACTGTTAGCTGTAACTAAGTTTCCTGCCGTCTCAACATGCTGTTTGTTCATAATCAGCAGAAATTAAACGAAGGTAATGTTACACCACAGAACACTTACTAATGTTCTCTCAGTTTAATGAATGAAGCACAGTTCAGTTATGTAAGTTCATATCACTGTTCTTTGTTTCAGTATCAGTGTCAGACTATAGGCTTTTTTTTAGTAGCTCCTGATCATTTCACTGAAAAAAAACAACAAAAAAAGTCTGTTGGGATATTTCTCTCTTTCAGATGAAGTGATGTGACTAAGGGCTACTCACACTGAATCACAGAGGTGAGTCATTGTTACTTTCTGCTGCTGTTTATTGTAAAACCTTTATATGACACGATGTCAGACAGGAAAGTTGGGAGAAGAGTGGGGGGAGGACCTGCAGCAAATGGTCTTAGGCGGGACTCAAACCCATGCTGCATCGGGGACTATAGCCCTGTTTATGGGTCGCCCGCTCAACTAGGTGAGCTATAGGGGCGCCTGTTTCTGTACAGCTGAGCTGAGAGAACAACTGTGTGGATCTCATGTAACTAGAATGCTTTTTCTTTCCCTTGTTCTTGCTAGCCTACATTGTGATACATTAGAATAGAAAGAATAAACTTTATTGTCCTTCTGAAGCAGTAAAATATTCTTTGGTCCCGTCCAAGAAAACAAACATTTCCATGAAATTAAAAAAAAAAAATGTCAGGACAAAAACGTCACACTTTCCCTAGTACTACAGCCAGTGCATTCATACTTATGGTGTGTACACTTTCATATTTGATTTTACTGTAGTTTGTCGACAACAGTAATTGCAGTTGGAATTAAAGGACCTTTGTAGATCTTTTTCTCACTGTTACAGTGCGTATTCCTTCCAACCATGGCCTGGATCAGCTACGTCTTTTGTGGGCTAACAGAGCTACAGAGAACACACGCATTCAGCCTGAGGTATCCAGTCCCTGTGAGGAAGATCAGCCTCACCTACTGCAGTGAGAATAACCTGAAGGATTTCTTAAACCTTATTGCTGCCGTGCTGGAGAACTTGCACCACCTTCACCAGCAACATCCAGACATGAAAATCATCTTCTGTGGCACCCCACAGAGATTTCGGTGGAAGGCTGTTACAAATCCAGGAAAGACTGACACAGCTCACAGGTTTGTGAATAGTGTCATGGCTCCATACGTTGACGTTATGAGTGTACAGACTGCACCAAGGGTTGTAAGCCATATATGAAGTATTATTTTAGATTATAATTTTTGTCATTTCTATTGTAATGTACACTCTTCAGTGAAAAATAATCTTGTATTACAGATTCGGCTCCCTCTCTTCATAATGCCCATTTGTCTTGAGTGTTATTTATTCTTCACTGTAAGCTGTACACTACATTATTTAATTCATCAATTTATGACATTCTTTTATACGTCTTTCCAGTGCAAAATTGTTAATTGTTGTAGTTTTAATGTGCAGTAAAGATATTAATGAAGCGCTTTCCCGAAATGTGTTGTATTAATGCTGCATAGCTACAATAAATTATAACAATAGAAAAATGTACTGTATTGTAATTATACAACAACAACAACAACAGAAATTAAGTAAAAGCCAAGACATGGAACCTCTGAATATACACACGTGGACAAAATTTTTTGTACCCCTCGGTTAATGAAAGAAAAACCCACAACGGTCACAGAAAAAGCTTGAATCTGACAAAATTACTAATAAATTAAAATTCTATGAAAATTAAGCAATGAAAATCAGACATTGCTTTTGAACCGTGGTTTAACAGAATTATTAAAAAAAATAAACTCATGACACAGGCCTGGACAAAAATGATGGTACCCCTAGAAAAGACTGAAAATATTGTGACCATAGAGACATGTTCAGTCAAGGTGTGTCCTCTAACTAGCATCACAGGTGTCTACAAACTTGTAATCAGTCAGTCGGCCTATTTATAGTCACTGTGCTGTTTGGTGACATGGTGTGTACCACATTAAACATGGACCAGAGGAAGTGAAGGAGAGAGTTGTCTCAAGAGATTAGAAAGAAAATTATAGACAAGCATGTTAAAGGTAAAGGCTAAAAGACCATCTCCAAGCAGATCCATGGGACTGTAGCCAACCTCCCTGTACGTGGCTGTAGGAGGAAAATTGATGACAAATTGAAGAGACGGATAATACGAATGGTAGCAAAAGAGCCCAGAACAACCTCTAAAGACATGAAAGGTGAACTCCAAGGTCAAGGTACATCAGTGTCAGATTGCAGCATCCGTCGTTGTTTGAGCCAAAGTGGACTTTATGGGAAATGACTTAGGAGGACACCATTGTTGAAAACAAATCATAAAAAAGCCAGACTGGAATTTGCCAAACTGCATGTTGACAAGCCACAAAGCATCTGGGAGAATGTCCTATGGACAGACGAGACAGAACTGGAACTTTTTGGCAAGGCACATCAGCTCTATGTTCACAGACACAACAATCACAATGAAATCTCAAGACTATCAAGGTATTCTAGAGACAAATGTCCTGCCCAGTGTCAGAAAGCTTGGTCTCAGTCACAGGTCATGGGTCTTGCAACAAGATAATGACCCAAAACACACAGCTAAAAACACCCAAGAATGG